AGATAGCCTTAAATCAGTGCAATGTAAAACAAGAAGCAGGCTGAACTAAAAATAAACCTCCTCTTGAGCAATGCAGTGGTTCTCATCCATCCCAGAACTTGTCTGTAGAGTCCACGGGCACCATACTTTTCTTTTCCCTTAGAATTTTAGGCAAAAGTAGGGAAAAGAATAGAACAGTTTCTGCCTTTTCAGCTTCCAGCTGCTTAGAGGAAGAACTTGTGTGTCCCTTGGCTTCTTCCAGCCTTTCAGGACTTCTGGTGGCTGCACTGACCCCAGAGCTGTTGAACATTGCTGCGCTAGGGGTACGTGAAATACCAATGGCAGGTGCTCTTTCCAGCACCCTTGCACAAATGAATGCCTTTGGAGTTGTACTGTTAGTACCATCAGGTCCCTGGGCTTTGTCAGCCCCCATGCCTACATCAGCACCCGCTGAGAGACATAAGCAGGAAGGTGGAGAATTCAGGCAGTCCTGGGCTGCACTCTGGCTTTGGAGCCCTTCAGGTATATCCTGGGAGATTGCTCTGTCCCCTCTCTGGCCTGTTGCTCCCAGCCCACCAGAAAGTTACCTGCTTTCTGGTGGGTTCCTTGCCACCGCAGCTGTCTCCTTGGAGTGTTTTTCACTGTGTCACTTGGAAATGAATTGACAGTGTAAGAGGAAAGCTTAACACATTCCAGTCTAGACCAATTTGGGCAGAAAATAAAACAAAACAGTACCCCCACATCCCAAATAACACACTAGTCAAATGACAAGTACAGAAAGTTTGAAACCACTTGAAGTTTTATAGGTTGTATTTTCTTTTTTATGAAATTTTTGGACTTATTTTTCTATCCCATGATTAATTTTTCCAATGCTTACAGCCTGAGAGTCAGTGCATTATTTATGACCTTTTTTTTGTAGATTCTTAAAAATAACATCAAAGTCATACCATTTCAGAAAACTTTGTGCCCTTCTGCTGCCCACAGTTCCTGTGTTATTATCAACAGGTGTTATGTTTTATACTCAAAGTCACTAGCGAGTACTCATCAGCTTCTTCTGATCTCTGTGCCTCGCATCAACTCTTTCAAGTTACTCATCAACAGTTGAAACTCTGGGATTTCCTCTGTAGTGTCAAATTTCAATTGTCTCTGAAAAGTTTGAACAACTACAGTTTTCCCAAATACTTGCGTGTCTGTCACCAGCAGGTGGCAAGTACTGACTGGTTGCCCCCTTTCTGTGGGATATCGGCTTTCTCCTTCTGGTTCAGTCCCCTTATCTCCTAGTTCTGTAATATAACCCCCCACATTATTCTTTAAATATTCTTGCAACTATGCATACAAGTTGCCAGTGACAGTGAAAATTGGTACAACTGAAATGAAGAGGAATTTGGCAGCACCCATCAAATTACCCACGGGACCAAGTAGCTGACTATTAGAAACTTATTTTATTCTTACGTATTTGCAGAATGAGTTAAGAACAAGTTTATTCATTGACTCATTGTTTGTAATAGTGAAAGACTGGAAGCAGTCTCTTCACAAGATAGAAACAGCTTCAAAAAGGGTATAGCAATGGAGTGGGAAAATGTTATAGGAAAGGGATGTGAACTGTTTTTTTTTTCCAAGACAGGGTTTGTCTTGCTGTCCCGTACTTGCTTTGTAGACCAGGCTGGCCTTGAACTGGCAGAGATCCACCTGCCTCTGCCTCCCTGAGTGCTGGGATTACAGGTGTGCCCTACCGTGCCCAGCCTTCTATTCAGAAATTTTAGGATACATTAATAATTTAGAACTAAAGCACCAAATAGTGGTTACAGTTATCTGCCACTGGATTAAGTGTGTGTGTGTGTGTGTCCGTGTGTGTAAATTATCTCAGGAAGAAGATACTCAAAAAGCCTAAAATGCCCATTGCCTCTGGGAGCTGACTAGATTTTTAGGTAAGAGGGGTAACAGATAAAACAGTCACAGGATATGCAATCATATGTATTTCTCATTTGCAAGAATAAATTTCTTCTAGAATGCTTTGGCATTTGCATTTCTGAGACAGAGGATGCCTACAATAAGCAGTAAGAAGTTTTGCTTTGCCAAACTTAATAGTTTTTATTTTAGGATTAAGGAGGTTTTTAACAAGAGTCAGCAGCAGCAGCCTAGGCCTAGAAACTGTTTCCACTGTGAAGCTGCATGCTCTATTTTTGGCCTTAAACCTATCTTCAGCTTCTCCGAAATCAGGAGTACCCTGTGCCCTATCAATTAAAGTGAATGTACTTTGAATTAAAGGTGTAAGTATGAGCCTGAAAAGATTAATTCTTTGTAAAAGGATGACCTTCAGCAGTTAGATCCAATTAGGCATTTTTCCAAGTATATATCTTCTTGATGGGACAAGACCACTACTTATAATCAATCACACTCATCTTTTCAAAGGTGAGACTTAGGTCCAGAGTCATAAAGAGGGACTCGCAGAGGCAAACTCCACAGCTCTCAGTGGGGATCATGATGGTTGGTTATTGCTTTTGTGATATTAATATTTAAAAAAAAATTCATGAGGGCATTCTAGGTACAGCTCACACATACACTTCTTTTACAGTGGCCTGAATAGAAAAAAAAAAAAAAACTAATTTAAACAAGACCAATTAAATGAGAAAGGAGCAATGACACCAATTAATACTGAACTAATAAGTGCCTTTGTTGTTTCCTCCTTGACTCATTTCATTATTAGATATAACACTAGTGAGTTTTTCTTAATGATCTTTTTTCTTACTAGATTAGTTTTAATTTCACTTTTGTTTATCTATAGCATCCACAGTGAAGATTATTAATGAGTTTTTGGTGATTGTTTTATATTAGCATGCAAAATGCCAAAGGATGTTTCTTTCTCTTAAAAGTGAAATGACTTGAGTCTTTCTGTGTCTGTCAGGTATTCCCTGTCTAGAAGTATAATCTCTATATTTAGGATAGAGTATTTGGCCTCGTGCTGCCATTCATTAAAGCCATAAACAAGGGAGACTTTAAGTGTAGTTGTACAAATGGGGGGGGTAGTGGTAGTTGGGAAGCATATAAAGGAACAAGCAGAAATGTTTTGCACACCTCAGCAGCTGACTGTTGGAACCAAATGGGAAAATATACAGCTACCATGAACATAAACGTCTGAAGATACTCGATTCTCTTACATAATGTAATATTTTCATATGCCATCTTTTAACATACTTTAAAAGAAATTTTTAGTGACTAATACAACATAAAAGACTCCCTCTAGAGTTTATGAGGGCAAACTATAATATTAAGAAATCAATTACTCATTCTTTTATATATACATTATTAGTGAGGTTTTTTTATTTTGTCCTCATAGGACATGCTATATTGCAACAAATCAACTATAAATATTCGGCCATGTGAAACTGTTCAGTCTGTTCATGTGTTTGTTTTTCTGTTGTAAGGAACAATTACTTTTACTTTTGTACTGGAAAAAAACCAAGACCACACACATATTAAGTAATACTCTGTTGTAGAGTAAATCCTCAATCAGAAAGTACTTATTTATGAAATATTTGAAATAAAATTAGGAAGACTAATTGTTTTTCTTTCAAGTAAATTGATGAGTATGTGCATTTTATTGGGTCTGAGTTCTGAAATTATAAACTAGTTCTAAAATGGTTTCAGAACATTCCACATTTATCTCCAATTTATTCTATATTTTATGTAGGTATGTACGTACATACATACATACATCCACATACATATGTACTTTTTAGTAGTACTTCAGTAGTCAGATTGTGAAAGAGCCCTACTAGAAGCACAGAGGGTTAGTGGCAAAGTCGAGATGGTGAAATCTGAGGGCAAATGCAGGTTTCTGGGTTCAGGATTCAACATCTGGACTTGAGTTCTTGCCCTCTTCTTTGGCCCTTGTCCTTATGGATAGGTATTAAATGTGGATTACTTTTTCTAGGCAGTAAGAAGAGCTTTCTCTAAGTGGGTACTGGGTCCTTTCTGGCTTCTTGGCCTCCTTGTACTTAGGGTGGTCAGAGTTGATAGTCTAAAAAGCGTGGGAATGGTTATGGAGACTGACTGCATTTGGAATTCTCACGCTTTGTACATTGTCCACAGAGACCAGAAGATATCACACAGAGTTGAGAACTAAGCCTGGCGTATTCGATAGATCGCCTTAGTCATGCATGGCAGGAAGAGGAGCATGTCCAGGAGCATGCATTGGGAGATCTCTGTTTCTGTCTGACTCATTTTAACCCCTGACCCAGGCAATCCCATCCTGCATCCTAAGCTGGTTACTTAGGGTGTTCTTACTGACTTTATTTTAGTATATATAATTACTTTTAATTGATTACAGCTCACATTATCATTACTTAAATGAGAAAATTGTCTTAGATTTTCTGAGTGTCATTTAGTTTGTACTGAATACATATTTATGTGTACATTTTACAGTTTTCTGTATCTTATATAAAGTTTATTATCCAATGGAAATTTTGCAACATTCAGAGATCCCTGAATTTAGAAAAGACTTTTAACAACAAGTCACCTTATTGTTTTTCACATGATTTAATATATAATGCCTGTCTTGAACTCATTACAAGTGTCTGTTGTTCCTGATACTTCAAGATTCTGTTACTAAACTCCTACTGTTCAGGGAAATATGAAAACTGTTTAAGATAACACTTAGACTAAACGCTTCTAAAACTGTATATTCTGGAATAAGACTCAAGTTTATTGAGTTAGTGTGGGTTTTATGAAATGAACATCTTGTTTTGGGAATTTTATGTTATCGGCATGCTCATTAAGGTAAATTTCATCAAATATATCTATTCAGCTATTGTTATTATATACCTTATCATTAAGGTAAATTTCATCAAATATATCTATTCAGCTATAGTTATTATAACTATATATTCCACTTGAGAAAAGATTTGGAGGTAACCTAAAACTGGAAAATGCTGTCTTCACATTATAAAAATTGAGAGTAATTTGGTTTGATTAAACTCTGCCTCATTAGATTTTAATGTGCTTTATGTTATGTGTTTCAGAAACTCCAGAAAGGAACTTAATGACATACGATTTGAGTTTACTCCAGGAAGAGGCAAGTTTTAATTGAAATTATTATTTTGGTGGAACAAGAAACAAATGAGAAATTGATTATAAGCGTATGGTTATAATTTGCTATTCAAAAATGTTTTGTCTACAAACAAACAAAGAAAGAAAGAGCTTGCTGGCTGGAAGGATTGTACTCACTACATGAATCCCAGAGACACGTGTGGCAGGGTGTACATACACATGTAAATTAGATGTATTAGCTTAACCATGAAAATGCACGCTAACAATGCAGCTTTTAATGGAAATGACAGTGAGCATGGTGTTGCTCCATGGAATAACAAACTCTGCCTCTCTTATGGCCTCCATGTCATTTGAATATCTCAACTATGTTACTTCAGCTGCTTAATGGATGGACTGCTCCTGCTCGTTCATACATCTCCTGGGTGCCAGAAGACAGAACCATGTATTGCTTTTTATTATTATTACTGTTATTATCTTTTGCGACAGGCATAGAGTCTGACATGCAGGAGAATATCAGAAGACCTTGGTTAATAGATACATAACACAAGGAAAAAAAAAAAAAACTTGGTTCACGTCATTTACCATATGACCACAATAGTCCAGAGAGATTGAAAACCAGATGCTAATACATGCCAAATTTGTAACCGTTTTCAGTGACCTGTGGTTTCTCATTTTTATGTACATGCAAAGAGCCCCCTCAAAGTCGGCCATGAGTACCTTTGTGAAGTATAGTCGTCTCACTCATTCTGACTTGTTAGTGTCCATAGCTCATAGCCCGGTGCTCATTCTACATAACCTACATCTCCATTAAGAGCATCGTATTTGCTAAACCTTCAGAAGCCCAACATGCAAGGACTCATGGCCTGAGAGCCGGTCAGTATACCGCCCTGGTTGCCTCACTGTTGTTGTCACCTGCTAGAAGATGCCGGCTAACTGCCTTGAGGAGCCAGAGTGAGTGACAGGCACTTCAAGAAGTTGCTGTGTCCCGTCTCTATACGCTCATGAGAGGGTTTTGTTTTGTTTTGTTTTTGGTACTGCCAATCAAATTATGCTCCTAGACTTTGAGCAGTCCCAGGTTTACCCTAGTTCTGATTGAATCTCTGTAAATGCAAAAGTTAGACCATTCCCTGGATATTTGAATTGGATAAAACTATGAAGTATCTTTTACAAAATAAATGCTCCTGAGCTTGCTAGCCGAGTTTTCTTTTCAAGTGTATCCATCTTTAACAGTTTGAGATTGTACAACACCAGTCGCAGTTACCAAAAAGCCATCTATTTTGTCATAGTATAAACATATTGACCAGGCAACGTTGTGAATAAAATCTGGTAATTATATAATAGATGTTCTGAGTACAAGAAAGAGCAGATTCTCATTTTAAGGTTCCTTCTTTTCATCTGGTCATTTAAAATTGACTGCAGCCATGAAAATCAATTTTAATTTTAAGAACTAACAAAGAATAAATTCCCAGCTTGGAGATTTGTGTGGATAAGATGGTCCTGCCATCAGTAGTCCATTTGCACTGCCTTTGGCAGACTTGTTTGCCAGGGACTGATGAATAGCCTCTTCCTTCTGTTGCCCAGGTAGAAACCATAGCCTTAGCTTAGGTAATTGTGTCATTTCCTGGACAGCGAGCATGGGTCTCTTCATACCGGATGCACTGTGTGTAACTCCTGGTGCTACATGTTCTTCAGGCATTGTCTGTGATATATCTGTGCGTGTACAGCTCATGTGCACTGCATTTGTGCTGCCTGTAAACAAGCATAGTTGTAGATGGCATAAGCTGTGATGTGCACACAGAACATTCTCTGTTGTCTTTTGAGGACGCTGATTTACTATGTTGTATACTCTGGAAAGAAGATGTTGACATGTGATGTTTTAACCTGTTTCAGCATTGACTTAAAGCAAAACTAAATTGCTAGTAAACTTGAAATAATCGTTTCCTATTTCTGGTCTAAACTATTACAGGTGTCTTACTTACCTGTACAGAAAATGACCGCTTAATGTCATATTACAGAGACAGGCTGTACTTCCCATCTTGTCCAGCTAGCATTAGCCATTTGCCACTTTGATATGATCCATCTGGTGCCCAAGAGGCCTGAAAATAGGACATGCTATCCAATTTAATCACCAGGGAGTGGCTATCACTCTAACACTGGTTTAAGTGCTAGGCCTCGGTGTAGCTTTGTTTGACATGTCTCCTTTCAGCTGCATTTGGAGAGTGTAGCTGCTTGCAGAAATGTAACATTCAAACCTTGTAGCTGCTGGCTACCACTCAAAGTATAAATGATTTCCTGCTGGAAGCCTGTCACCTACTTCTGTTCAGCACCTTCATTAGAAAGGTTTCCTGTCCTGGAGATTTGGTTGATCTCCAGGAAGATGAAGATTCCGGGTGCCAGCAGCTTCAGAAAGAGAATCACGGTCAGAACATAACCATTCAGGTCCATTCAGCTATCCTCAGGTCCCCTCATTCGGAGTCATTCCATCAGAGACCTTTATAAGCTTTATTCGTAAGGTTTGACAAAAGGGGAAGGCCTTTTTCACACAAGTTTACCTTGTGTGGAATTCTGTTACTTAGTGAGCTTTCCACACAAACCCCTGCCATCCATTCAGTGGCTTGCATCCTATTATGAAATGGGAGAAAACCTCGATCTTTGGAAATATCGGGTATATACACTGAGTTTTGATCCTTCCTGGAGATTGAGCAAGGGAGAGAAAGTGCAAAGGAGTCTGCGATGAGTTTGGAATACCCTTTGGTGTGGCGTTGTCATCACCGTCACCGTCACCAGTTATTGTATTCGTAAAGTTACAGGTAGAACACTTTAAACCTCCCAGATTAGTGAAGAAACTGGTCACATGCGTGTATGTGCGTGCATATGGCAGACACGAGCAATGTGTATGTACACCATGTGTATGTACACACCCCTGCTCTGTGAGCTCATTTACTTAGTCACAATAGCTGGTTTATGCTGAGGGTAGATTTCTGTTTTGATGTCTGTTTGATGCAGCATCTATAATGGTCAGATGTTCCCTGGCTTTGGAAAACAATGATCATGTCGGCCCCTCACTAGTCCATGCTTTTTGTAGCCAGTGCTACTAGGTGTCTGGCATAACATCTGGAGGCCATGGAGACCAGGCCATCTCCTTTATTATAACACAGGGTTCTGGAATAGTTCTTTTAAGCATACTGCAATTTTCAGTTCCTCCTTGAAAAGTCTTTCTATAGAAGTTAGCAGTGTTACTGTGCCATTCATAACCTCTCAATTAAGTAATTTTAGCTCTATTCACTTGCTGCAAGCCTGTTCAGTCCCATCTTTATGGGATTGCCAACTCCTGTCACTTATCATTGAGAAGCCACATTATTTTACCCAGCCATATTCTCTAAGAGAATGAATCTGTTGCTATCAGATGATCAATGTTGTGTTAAAGGATTTTTTTAATAGCATGCATTTAAATAACTCATCTTAATAGTCCAACAAGCCCATGGGCTGTTTGTACTAAGTATGAGCTTGTATCAGATCCTACCCATTCAACCTTTGCTATAAATTCTTAACTTCATAGCTACAAGTGATTGAAAAGGATTGATGATGGCTGGAATTAACCTTGGCAAGAAAGAAAAGCAAAGTCATAGAGAACACTTAAGTCTTCCAGTGTATACTGGAGGATTAATTCAGAGGATGGCCAGAGGGAAAAGTTTTTTGGTTGACCAAAGTGAAATAAATATTATTACAGTAACATCTGTTAAAGGAAAAACAAAATACAAATTGCTTGTGGGAAAATATACCTCATTGTGTTTCTAATTTTTTTTTTCCTGATAGGATCTGAATTGATGAATTAAAATCATGTGGGTGATTTTAGTAAATGAAAAGTCTATCTTTTATATTGTGCTGGGCTCTTGATTTTTATGTTCTGGTTTCTAATACATATTCATCTCACATTTGGACAGATACAGCAGATGGTGTGTCTCAGGAGCTCTTCTCTGCTGGCTTGGTTGACGGTCATGATGTAGTTATAGGTAAATTGTTTTTTAGTATGCAGTATCCTTTTGTTGATGTATCAAATAGAAATTTGCTTAGAAACAAAATATTTTATTAAGGAATAATTCACTGTAAAATTTAAAAGAGAATCTTCATAAATTCTATGTTCATGTGACATTGCATTAAGAATCGTATTTAAATTTCTTCAAAGGTGTTTCATGTATTTCCCTCCCCTTTTCCTAAGCATGGTTTATCCAATGAGGTATCACAAGTATCACAAAGAACGAATCATTTTGTAGTTCTGTATTTAGGTTGGAGAGGGCCTTAAAGATCATTCAAACCAGTTCATCTGTTGTCCAGGTAAGGAAACGGATTCGTAATAAAATTCTCTGTTTCTCCAGAGTTGTGCAGCGGGTGTGCAGTCTTTTACTTGAAAATGGTCTCTCTGCCATTCATCATTTTTTCTAAATCAAAAAAAAACCTGCCCAGAGCTAGGGAAGCTTGCATGAGCCATGCATGTTGATAGAACAAGCAGCCTCATGTAGGTCTGCCAATGATTATGTGTTAAGAAGGCTCTTAGCGTCATCTAAGCAAGCCTGGTATGGCTGCCTCTGTTCCCTGAGCATCAGCATGCCCCCTGGAAACAATGGGTCTACAAAGCTTTTAAACCGTGGTCTGTCACTATGCATTCCTAATAATGACTAAGTGAGGAGGTTACATAGTATATGAGTGATAAAGATTTGATTTAATTATAATTACATTAAGAAGAATGTAGTTAAGGCAAAATATTCTTTAAAAATAATTCTTCATAACATCCTTTTAAAAAAGCAATGTTTAAAAATGCATGTTGTTTGATTTTGTGTTGTATTAGTTTTGAGACAGGGTATCTTGTCTGTGAAGCCCAGGCTGTTCTGGAATTCACTTTGTAATCCAGGCTGGCCTCGAACTCACAGAGATCCACCTGCCTCTGCCTTCCCATTGCTGGGATCAAAGGTGTGTGCCACCATGACCTGTTTTAATTCCACGTTTTAAAGCATTCAGTTATTCTAAATAAGTCCTTGCTTAATCGTGGTGGTGGAATGTATGACTGAGGGAATATGAGGCAGATTAGCAAATCTGTTAGAATTGGCTTCTAGAAACCTGGTAATACAGATCATTGTGAAGTAAATGTATATATTTTATTTAAATGAGAGTACACACTGGTTTATAGTACAAGTTATAATTCTGGCTAAAAACTTAGCATCACTATCTTATATGAAAAATGGTATGACAAATGCAAAGTAGGAAAACTACATTCCTTTGCATTAATCATAGAGTAAGTGTAAACAATTAAAGCTCTTCTATCTTTACCAAGTAGTGAATACAAAAGGAGACATGCCATATTCTACCTGAAATATATTTATGTAGATAGTGTTTCCTCATTCCTCCTTGTCTTCCAAACTTTTTTTTAAAGATCCTGTTAGGTCTTTTGACCAGCTGAGTTCTTAACTGTTTTCTGATAAAATGTGAAGTGAAGAGTCAGAAAAAAATGTCAGCCCAGCTTCAGTGCCTTGTTAAAATTTCACCTCTGACTTCTTCCTCTTAACCCTTCAGTTCCTTGTTTAGAAAAAAAACAAACCGACAAACAAAGATACCTTTGTTTCTTAGTTTACTCAAAGAAGTAATGAGAACAGTTAATGCCAAAATCAGGATACACTGAAATATCTATTTCCTTAAAGAAAGCTGTTTTCCATGTACTAAGCAGACAAAATTAAGAATTAATTGGCAAAGTAGACTTCAAATACTAACTCACCCCAGGAGGAATGAAATAATGAAGGAAGGTGTGTGTTGGGGGTGGGAAATTTCTGTTCTTCTGTTTTGTTTTCACTTACTGAAACAAGAAACATAGCTGACCCTGGACCTGAAGTTACTCACCTCCGGCCTCTGGCCCTTAAGTGCTGAGATTTCAGGTGTGTGCTGGACACCGATGTTCGCATCAGTGCTGTGAGGTAAAAGCAGCAGGTTGATTTAGTCACGGTTTCACAGACAAACTGGAGAGCCGAGGAGGCCTCCAGGATGTCACCCGCAGTCCTTGGTGCTGGGGCCTGGTGACTCTTGAGAAAGCTTGTCCTTGTCCAGGCTCTGTAGACAACTTGGACAACCTGTGCATCGCAGGAAAAGCAAACGTAACAAACTTATTTTTCCCCAAAGCAGTAGATATGTCATTTTATATTTCAGCTGTTTATATTTCACAGATAAAAATTCTTACCCCTGATCCCACTAACCAGTCTCAGAAACTCCCGCTGTCTCCCTGTCCATCCTGTCCACTCTTCACTACATACGACATCTCAAAGCTGAGCCTCTCAAAGCATTTGAAATTCTCCCTGCATCTTAATACAGCTATTTTCTTCCAAGGTCTTCTAAGGAAATTTGCTAACAGGCCTGTCTTGCCTCCATTTCCCTCCTTACCTTGATCTCCTGAACACACTGCAGCCAGCTTTTGACCTTCCTATTCCACTCCAGCTGTCACTCTCCTGCCCCATCTTGAGAAGACAGGCCTGACAGGTGCAGTGCTAGGTGCAGCTGGAGTGGACTGAGTGATGTGGTGTTCCAGGACCTGTGACCTGAGAATGGCTGTCACCTTCCTACGTCTGAAGTTCATTGTCTGTCGTGTTCTTAACTGGCCTGTCAGAAGTACTGGACATAGAAGGTACGGCCTTCTTCCATGACTAGCTGCTCATTTGAGCTTTTGAACCTCCCCCCCCGCCTCTTTCTTCTTCCTCCCACCTTGGGAGTCATTTCTTCTCAGTGTGTTACTCATCATCTTTCTCACCTGTAGACACTGATGTATCCAAGGAATCTAAGAACATTTCTTTCTTCTGTGACTACTTCTTCTTCTGGCATGGCGTCTTGCTTCTGTTCTTTAACTTTCTGACTCAGACCCTTCTTTGGAATTGTAGACTCATAGCAGGATCCTTCTTTTGTGTTTTAATCATCTTTCCTTAGGAAGGCAGTCACCATGTGAAATTTAATTTTCAGTCTCCAAAATGCAGCCCTTGGTGCTTCCGGCCCACCAGCCCTACAGTGGTTCTTCTTTCTCAGGGTAACCTTGCTCTGTCTCTGGGTCTTCATGCCAATGACTGGGACTTACCCCTGACTTTTCTTCCTTTCACACCCCTCTTCCAAATCGTTATGTGTACAGCATCCTAGTACTAGCCATCACCTTGGCTTTCGTCTGTATTGGTTTTTTGTTGTTGTGGCAAAATACCCAACAAAAACAGCTCAGTGAAGGGAGGATTATCTTTGTCGCAGCTTGAGAGAATATAGCCCATCATGGCATGGAAGGCATGGTGGTATTCATGGCAGCTGGAGCATTTGGCCAAGTCTGGGAGACATGGCAGCAGAGGTCTCAGGGAGCCCTAGGTCAGTGCCAGCCCTCCCTCTAGCTCCATCCTACAGATATCCAGTCAGGCCAGGTATCCAAAAGGCTCCGAAACCATCTCCAACAGCAGATCAGGCATTTGAGTATATGAGCCTATGGAGGGACATTTCACATTCGGGCCACCCCCGGCCCGATTATTAGCCCCACGTCTTTACTGGTATCCCAGATTCTGTCTTTCTCACTGTTGTCAGCTAGAGATGGCTAAGTAAATTAGATCAGACATAAAGGGCTATGTGACTACAGGTCCGTGAAGTGCCCAGTGTGCAGGCAAATACATAGAGGGAAAAGAAGGAAAGAGTTGTGAGGAGTAGGACACAGAGGCTGTGGAAGCGATGGCTACTTTGAAATTAAAAGCCATCATGGATATGCAAACTTTGAGACTGTTCCCAAAGCCACTAAACTGGGAACTTCATTTGTGTATGAGTCACAGCCCAATTGAAAAAAATGACCAGATTATTTTAATGCTTTAATCAAAGCCTGTAATGGCCTTCTGCCCACATGCCACTGGCCATGGCATGTATGTCTCTTTGGTGTATGTCCCAGTCACTTCTCAAGCCACCTCTCTTCTCTCCACCGTGCTCACACCCACCAGCTCACACCAGCAAGCTACACTTGCCTGTCTTCCAGCATGCCCCTCTGAAAGCAAACATAGGCCCACCCTGTATCTCTTGGTGCTTTGTCAAAGTCCTCTACTGAAAGTCCTCTACTGAGTCCTCTACTGAAAATGGCATGACCTTCCCAACTCTCTGCGTTCTTCATGGCTTCCAACTTCCTGCTTCGTCTTTCCTCGAGCAGCACATTATGTTGTTCACTTATGTTAGTAGCTGTAAGGTTTCTTCTTAAACACAATTTTTCCTTCCTTCCTTCCTTCCTTCCTTCCTTCCTTCCTTCCTTCCTTCCTTCCTTCTTCCTTCCTTCCTTTTCCTTTCCTCCTTCCTTACTCATTTAGTTATTTGGTTAGCTAGTTATTTAATTAGTTGTCTATCATGTAGCATCTCACTGTGGAACCAGGCTAGCCCCAAGCTTGTGATCCTCCTGCCTCAGCCTCCCAAGTTTTGCCTTTACAAATGTGCTTAACCACACCAAGCTAAGCATTAGTTTCTTAAAAAGACAGTTGATTTTCTCTGTTTCAGGCTGATCCACTGCTGAAGTGCTTCACTTCTAAGAGTGAATCCCCAACCGACACTTGTCCAAAATTCTGTTCTGATCTCTATATCTATCTCCTAACATTTTCATATTGAATGTAGGAGAGTAGTATTTTGAGAATCTTATTTTAAAAATAGTTAAATTCGAGTAGCCTTTACACCATGAAATAAGCTCCTATGAAGGAGGCTGTACAAAAAAAGGAGCCTTTTCATGTGCATTTCTTTGGCTTCCATAATATAAAGTCACTAACATTTAAATAGATTAAAAATCTTTTTTTTTTTTTTTTACCATCAGCATTTTTCTTTTGAGTTAGAAAAAAATGCTTATGGTAGCACGAAAAAGCTGAAAAAAAAAAAGCAACAGCATGTGTGAGAGAGCAGTGGGTGCTGTGACTTCTACTCTAGCATAGCAAACACAGATTACAAAAGTCTGCATTACCTAGCTGCAGGGTAATCTTCCTGGAGAGTGCAA